TCGGGACAGGTCCTTGGTGCAGCTGCGAGCTGCCTCCTGCCCCGGTGCAAAGCAGCATCGCCGGCTGCATCGCTCAGAGGCCAGTAGAGCATCCCTTCCGTGGTGGGTGATGCTCTCAGAAGAGGACATCCATGGAGGTCCTCAGTTACCAGGTCCCTGTGGTGCCCAGGCACCCCACCTGCCATCTCCCGTGTGCTGTCCTGCAGCCACCGCTTTCAAACAGCGAGGCTTCTTTAAGCCAGTAAGGTGAATTTATTTTCCATGAGATATCAGGTCTGAGTATCTTGGCTCTGCAGCGTTTCCTTTGCTCAGCTAGCAAGGATGGCAATTCCTCCATGATTCCTTCCCTCCTGGGGCTGCACTGGAGCCCACGAGGGGTAATAGAAGTGGAGGATGTGGCATCCTTTCTCCTTACCCACTCCCATGTGTTTCTGCTTCAGGCTGACCAGCTGGGCCCATAAACATGGTTTTTCAGTCTTGCCCTCCGCTTCAGTCACTAGCGTTGTGTTTTCAGTCAGTAGCGTTGTGCATTTTTTTAAAACATCCATCTCTTCCAGCTTCCACCTGCTGCTGGTTCAGCTGGCGATGTCAGGGAAGCCAGGGGGGGAGGTGGGATGCTGGGGGTTTGCTCAGCGAGGGGGAAGCACCAGGACTCTGCTTCAGCTGCGTGCTTGGACCAAATATTCCCTGCATTTATCTTGCGCTCGGCTGCATCTTCACCTGGTGGAAGCCAGCTTCCCTTGGCCCGAGGCCCAGAATGCTCTCTGGAGACAAGGAGATGGGCTGTGCAGCTGAGGTTTCCAGATCTCTCGTGGACATCAGGCAGCCTGAGACTTACCCCTCAGCTCCCTGGTGCTCGGGGTGTCCCGCGGGGTGTCCAGGCACGGGGTGAGGGACCCCTCTGGGGGTGGGTGTGTTTTGGGGAGTTTGTGTAGCCTTTCCTGCACGCTGGTTTATCCTGCTGTGGTAGCGGGGTCCCTGTGGTGACTGCTGCGCTGTGTGGGGTGGATTACTGGGGTTGCACCCGGGCTGCCGCGTCCTCAAGCCCACACGGGTTGCTGCGGGCATCACTTGTAGACACAAGTGATGGGAATTTCCTATCCCAGCTTCAGAAGCAGCCACGTTTGAGATGTTTACAGGTGGGTTGGAAAGGTGTCTTGACCCTCCCACCACCACTAAAGGTGGCAGCCTCTGTTGCGGTGCTTTTGGCAGCGTACCACGGGGCTTTTTCAGCTTGCACAGGACCTGGTGGAGGTTTTCAGAGGTTCCCAGCCCTGCTTCACCCAGCTCTCTAAAATTAACCATGTAACCTTCCTAAAAATACTCAGAGGGCAGTAGCCCCTAGAGAGCACCAGTGCTGCTTGCTCCCAGTTTCTAGACCAAGCCATCGGAGAGATGAGATCACCTGGCAACGTGTCTCACAGCCCTGGAAAGCCCTTGGCTTTCTCAAAGTCTCCTGCAGAATATAAGAGTCCAGGTCTGGATCTGAACCTGCCTTTCTGGGCCAGCCTACTTCCTACAGCACCCTCCTCTTCCTCCTTTGCTCCTGGCCAGAGATGGTGCTTGCCTGCATGTCTCTACTTGCGGAGACAGTGCCAGCTTCAGGTTTAACAAGCTGCAGGCAGGAACGTTGCCGGCTGCCTGGGGAGGAAGGCAGGGTCCACAGCCTTTTCCCGGAGCATCCCCTGAGCCTCCCCGTGGGTGTGGGAGGCCCGGGCGAGGAGGAATAGCTGGGCCCTTCCTCTCTCTCATTTATTTTTTTAGGCATGTGGGAGGAGGGCAGAAAGGGCTCAAGGAGGAGGGAGGGAGGGAGCTGAATTTTCCATGAGCAGCTGTCAAAATGTAATCTCTTGCGTTGCTCAGGCTGGCAGCTTAAGCAGGATAAATTAACGGGGATTTCGGGGAGCATGGAAAATACCACGGCCCGGAGGGGGCTGGCAGCCTGGGGAGCGGCCTTTTCGTCTGCAGGACGGGCTCTGGGCCCCAGCGCCGGCCTGAGCTGCGGAGGGATGCTCCGAGGCGCTGGGCTCAGCCGCTGCCAGGTGCCGGCTGTCCCCCAGCCTCAGCGGTTTTCCATCCACCACCTGCCCCCAGAGGTCACCCGGAGAAGGGAGCCCGACCCCCCCCCTTCTCTGCCTCCCCTTTCCCGCTGGCGCTGGGCTCCCAGTGCCGGCCGTGGAGGGGGATGCCAGCAGTTGCTCTTGCAATGCCAAGTATTTGTGCCGACAGCTGGGGTGCAGGGTGGCCCCCCACCCCGGGGGCCTTTCCGTGCCGGTTCCTCGCTCCCACTCAGACCCAGGAATTTATGCAATTGCATTTTCATCATTTTATTATCTCTTCCCCCCCCCCCCCCCACCCCCCAGCTCCATCTTGCAAAATGCAGAGCCAGGAGAGCGGGTGTCCTTCTGCGCTTGGCTCAGCCCCCCGGGCCCGTGTGCCAGCCAGCGTCTGTGGCTGGAGCGCGCCGTGTGCGTGCTGGGGCGTGAGCCCGGGCCCCTCTGTCTGCACCACGTCCCTGCTTCCTCGCCGCGGGTCCCCGTCCCCCAGCCGGCTGCCCGGGGAGCAGCGAGGAGCGTGATGGGTGCTCATACCGGTTATTTATAACCGTGCTAAAGCTACCCCAGCTAGCAAAGCGGCCTGGAGACACGGCAACAGCCGCTCGCTGGAGCTTGCAAAGGGCCCTGCTCTTTCCCCAGCTCCTGCTGTGCTGCTGGCAGTCGCGCCCTGGCAGCCCCGCATCCGGGGCCCTCTCCCTTTTCCCCGCTTGCACGTCTCGTAGGATCCCTTTGGGTGCTGCTGGAGCCAGGAGATCTGGGGCAGCTGTTTAAAATAACACGCTGGCACAGAAAAAGGGGGAACCGGAGAAAACGAGGTCTTCCCGTGCGGCGCACAGGGGATGGTACCTAAACTCTGCAAATGCCTTGCCCTGATACTGAGTTCACGGCTGAAACACCTTTTCCAAAGGGAGCCCTTCGGAGCTGCCCCGTGCCGGGGGCTCGCTGCTGGAAACCAGTCCCCAGAGCTTTCCCCAGGAGGGACTGGCGCCCGCGGTGCTGGCAGACCGTCTGCGTTCAGGCAGGATCGGTTCAGCTGGGGACAGGGGCAGGCAGGCTGCCCGGGGAACCGGGGGATGGGGAAGGTGTCTCGCAAGGGGAGGCTAGTTGGGTCTTGCAGAAGGCAGGCTGGGAGGCTATCTGAGCCCGCTCTATAAATACACCAGGCGGGTAAACACTTGGGAGGAGAAAAAAAAAAAACAACTATGTCAGCTAATGGGCACTGCTGCCACAAGGTATAAATCGGTCAGGAGTAAAATTAGGCTGGAGAGGAGAAGGCAGATAGATCGGTGCTGCTGCCTGCGAGGCTTGGGCTGCCAGCGCTGCCCTTGCAGCCAGGGCTTGGTGCAAACGGGGCTGGACTCGCCGCGGGGACCCCACGGCAGGGATGTGTCCCTGCGGTGCCACGCTGAGGGCCAACCTGACACCCCACCGGAGGGGCCCCCGGGCTTGGGGGCTCCTTATTTTAACAGGTCCCTTTAGAGCAGTCCCCCACCATCCACGATCCTCGCCTTCGCTGTGCCCTCCTGGAGAATAACCACCCCCCGGAGGGGCAGAAGTCGGTGTCCCTGTCCTAGGTTTTCATCCAGGAAGCTGGGGAGTAATCTGTGTTTATCACTGCTGCTAACGAGAGGGTGCTCAGGTGTCGAGCAGTTATCCTGGCTGTTTGCACGGCAGAGGTCTGAGCTGCCTCCCACTAAAGCCACCCGCACTTTCTCCCTTCCAAGAAGCAAAAAAACCCCCTTGCCACATCCACGTGGTGGCAAACGAGAACCTGATTCATCCTTAGGTAATTTGTGTATGTTCCTTTCCTCTTCTTTCCTGAGCAGCCTTTGCATATATATGAAGAAAGCTCTTAAGCGGCACTGCAGTCAAACCTGATCTGCTTTTAGAAGACAGGTCCTTAAATTACCCTCTCCCTCTCTGCAGGCAGGGAATTGCTAGATATTCTGGTGCAAACCCATGGTGGCGGTGGTGGCACGCGCGTGTTTGGCTGCATCTGCTTGAGCCCCGCTGCGCTGGGCAGTGACAAACCGCAGGGCTTCGAGCCGGCTGCGGTGGGAGGGCAGGGAGTCCGGGGTGGGTGAGCTGCCGGGCTGGTTGGGGTTTTGATCCCCTGGGAGTTTGGGGTTTGGAAAGCTGGGTTTGGGGCAGCCTGGCTCGGCGGTGCTGGGGACGGTGCCGTGGCAGTCCGCACGGCTCGAGCGGGTGATGGAACCGGTGAGGTACCCCGGCACCGGCCGGGTCCCGCCCTCGTGCCCCGGCAAGGACGCAGAGCAGGTCTGGACATCACGGCCAGCTTCACCCGAGAGTCCAGGTCACCAGAGCCAGCTCCGGGTGACAGGACAAGGCCAAGGGACGTCTGCCCGCGGGGTCCCCCTGCTCCCGGGGCTGCTGGCTGGCGTTGGAGGAGCGAGCGCCCACCTCGCCCCTGCAAAAAGCTGGAGAAAGCAGCGATCTAGGCTCGTGGCTCCGGCCTGCAGCCCCACAGCAAAACCTCCTCCCTCGCCGCTTTTCTGGCTCGGCCACGCGAGGCTGAGCTACGGCGGCCGGGACGGCGCCGTCCCGGCACGGGGACGTGCCCCCCGCGCTTGCCGGCCTCGGGGGGTTGCTGCGTGCCCCGGGCTGCTCCTCGCCCTTTAAGGGCCAGCGGCAGCTGATGGCCACGTGCGCGCTGCCTTGGCACGCTTCTCCGTGCCCTCTGCGCAGCGGGCATGGGGGCGGCGGGCGCGCCGGCTGGGGTGGCTGTCCCCCGCGCTGCCGGCGGCCGGCACAGGATGAGCGGGCGCCCGGCGGGCACTGCGTGGGGTGCATGCCACCATGCAGGCGGCAGGTGAGGGGGCTGCCCAACCGCCGTCCCCCGCCGCGGCCACCCCGGGGCGCGGGCTGGATTCTTCTTCCCCTCCTCCCCTCGCTACGAGCTCATCTCTCCGCTCTCCCCTCCAGGTTTCAAGTGCCCCATTTGCTCCAAATCCGTGGCTTCTGACGAGATGGAAATGCACTTTATCATGTGTCTGAGCAAACCTCGTCTCTCCTATAACGGTAAGGGCCGGCGGCCAGGCTGTGCCGGGGGGACTCGGCGTCCTGCCGGCTCCGGGCAGGCCGGGGAGACGTTTTGCCGCAGGCTGCGCGGGCGGGCGGCTTGGCCGGGCTTGCCAAGAGGGCTGTGCTCCAACGGGCCAGTGCAGCTCACGGTCCCCGCTCCCCCCCCCGCCCCCCCCCCCCCCGGCACGGCTCAACCCCGCTGCTTTTTGCCTTTGGGACCTTTCGTAAGGCGGCCCCCTCACCGCGGCGCGCCGTGCCGGGGGGAGCCGGGCGTCCTGCCTGCCCAGGCTGGGGGACGTGTGGCCGCCTGGGCTGCCCCTCCGAAGCGTCCCTGCCTTCCTTCCCTCCTCACTGCCAGCGGGGCTGACTGGGCTCAGCACTGGTCTGCAAGCTCCTGCATCTCCCATCCTCTCTCCTCACCGCTCCTGGGGGAGTGGTGCTCACCTCCTGCTCCGTGGTGCTCTTTCGGAAGCCAGGGGTTGGGAGGGGGGGGTTGCTGCAGCCGCCCCAGCCCCATCTCCCCCCGCCAACCCCGAGCCTCCCACCAGCGTTTGCCGGCGCGGCTGCCCCATCCCGGCTGCCTCCACCCCAGGGAGAGGGGGGGGACACGCCGCAGCGGGCCGCGTCTCACTCTGCCCTCTCCTCCCCTCCCAGATGACGTGCTGACCAAGGACGCCGGCGAGTGCGTGATCTGCCTGGAGGAGCTGCTGCAGGGGGACACGATAGCCAGGCTGCCCTGCCTCTGCATTTATCACAAAAGGTACCGGCGAGGGGGCGCAGCCGGGCGGGTGGCAGGGGGACAGGCGGGGGACATCCCGAGGCTGGGGGGTGGTGACGCACTCTCCTCTCCGCAGCTGTATAGACTCATGGTTTGAAGTGAACAGATCTTGCCCGGAGCATCCTTCCGATTGACCCGCCGGGCGTGCTTGCTGACTTCTCTCTAAGGTGAGCCAGCGGCCGGCCGTTCAAACGTCATTTTCCCGTGCCGGGATTAAATCCTGGGCCGGGAGGGGAGGGGAGGGTGGGATGGGGTGGCCGTGGCTCCCGCTCCTCACCTGGGATCCTCTCTCTCTGCCTTTGCAGGGCACCTTGCTATACCTGCTGTACCTCCTCTCCCCGTCCCCCCCGCCCTACCTGGAGTTTTGGACTGACTTTAAATTCCTCGAGAAGACAAAAATAAAACCCAGAAACTTGAATCCACTTGGGACAACGGCGAATTTTTTTTTTTATTATTATTTTTATTTGTTTTATTGGGGTTTGGGTTTTTTTTTTTGTTGTTGTTTTGTTTTGTTGTTTTGTTTTTTATTTAAAAGATTTTAAAAAATAAGAAACATCCAGGAGAAGACAGTGTGAGAAAAGCGGAGCGACCCGCTCTCCCCTCCACAGCCGCTGGTCATCAGGAGAGCTTTGCCTGCCAGGGAGGCCCCAGGGACACCCTCGGCCGAAACCCTGCCATGATGTTTGGCTTTTCTCCCCAAAACGAAGGGGGAAGCTGCCGGGGGACAGCCAGCCAAACGGAGCACGCGGCATTTCTCACCGGCAACCCCCCCACCTCCCACCCGGACTCACCCGGGGGCTCTGCTCGGTTTTTTTGCACTGACTAAACAGGAATTTTCTCCTCTCTCCCGTCTCCCTTTTGGAGATCTCCACCCCGGCCCCTGCGGCGTGAGACGGGGACTCTGCCCCACGCCGGGAGCGGGGCCACTGCTCCCCCCCTGCTGAGCTGCGGGGGTCCGTCTTTCAAGTGTTTACAATGAGAAAAAAAACAAACAAAAAAAAAAAAAGGAAAAAAACCACAAAAAAAAAAAGGAAAAAAAAAAAGAAGGAAAAAAAAAAAGAGAAAACTAACAAAAACAAAAAAAAAAAAAAAAACAAACACCAAACCACAACTGAAGCTTCGTGTTGACTGGCGTGTTCTTCGATTTGAGCTTCCCTGCCCCGGTGATGTTTACAGACTGGTCACTAACTCAGCTATAACCACTCAGAGACTGGAGAGCCGCAGCATCCCCGCCGCCCCCTCCCGCCGCCCCCTCGCCGGGCTCCTCTTGCCAAAACCGCCCCCATCCCCTCCTCGTTCTTCCCATCGCCTTGGAGTCAAACCCTTTCGCGGAGGGGACAGGGGGGGGCCCCCGATGGCCCCCCAGGTGCCCCCCGGCCACGGGGGTGGCTTTGCCGGAGGTGCCAAGACGGAGTCATTTCATGGCAGTGACACCCCCCCCCCCCTCCAGCCCATCCCCGTCCCCTCCCAGCGCGGCGGGCGCGTTTTCGTTGGTGAGACCTCCCCTGCCGGTGGCCGTGCCCCTGCGGGAAACCTTTCTGTATTTATATATTAAAAAAAAAAAAAAACAAAAAAAACAAAAAAAAAAAAAAACGGGGGTAAAAAACCTAAGAGTTCAGAGCTTGGGGGGAGCTTCCTTCATTAGTCAAGGTGTTTTGATATGGTATTAAAACAATGTTCAATAAAATATTCACTGTTATTTTATTTTACTGGCTTTCTTCGTGAAGCAGATGATGGCTGTGGGGTGTTGGAGCCCTCCACCCGTGCTGCTGCCCCCTCCCCATATCTGCCTCGGCGTGGGGATGGCCACGGCGGTGCCCGGCACGGCCCAGAGCTCCCAGCCCTGTGGCTCTAGGGAAGTGGCTAAAGTGGGTGTCATCGTCCTCCCCCCCCCAGCTCCTCATGTCCTGGGGGTTCCTGCATGTGCCCAGCTTGGGCCAGGGACCCCCCAGGGAGGGGTTGGGGTGCCCTGTCCCCCCCAAAAGTCATCAGGGCACAGGGAGGCTGCAGGTACAAAGGGGTTTATTGGGGGTTTGGGGGTCTGTGACGCACAAGGTGTGTGGGGGGGATTTGAGGAAAAGGGGGGGTGGCAGGGCAGTGGGGGCACCCCAGCCCTGATCCCAGGGGGCTGGGGGGTCCCTCAGAGCACCTTGCCGGGGTTCATGAGGTTGAGGGGGTCCAGCGCAGCCTTGATGCGGCGCAGGGTGTCCAGCCCCTCCTGGCCCAGCTCTTCCAGCAGCAGCTCCCGCTTGCCCAGCCCCACGCCGTGCTCCCCGGTGCAGGTGCCCCCCGCTGCCAGCGCCCGCCTGCGGGACATGGAGCGGGGAGGGGGCGGGGGGCCAGGGGGTGGCCACAGGGCCATCGGCGTCCCCGTCCCCCCGGGGTTGTCCCCATCCCCACCTGCCCAGGCGCTGGGTGAAGGCGTGGACGCGCTGGGCTTCGGCCGGGTCCCGGGTGTCGAAGATGAGGAGGCAGTGGAAGTTGCCGTCGCCTACGTGTCCCACCATGGGGCCTGCAGGGCAGTGGGTCAGGGCGGGGGGCGCGGCAGGGAGGACGGTAGCCCCCCGCTTCCCCCTGCCCCAGGGGCCGTGCCCCCCACTGACCGGTGAGGCCGGAGTCCCGCAGGTCCCGCTCGGTCTCCACCACCACGTCGGGCAGGCGGGAGATGGGCACGCAGACGTCGGTGGAGTAGCCCTGGGCCGGGGCAGGGCAGAGCCGTGGTGCCCGCAGCCCCCCGGGGCGCTGCCGCCACCGGCCCCGCGCCCGTCCCTCACCTGGCAGCCGGGCCGTAGGGCCAGGGCAGCGTACCAGGCGCTGTGGCGCATGGCCCAGAGCCGCCCGCGCTCCTCCGGCCCCTCCGCCCAGGCCACGCCGGAGCCGCCGTTCAGCCGCACGATCTCCTCTGCCGGCACCCAGGAGCCCTGGGACGGGGCGGGACGGGACCCGCAGCAGCCACGGGACCCTCCCACACCCCCCCCAACCCCCCTTTCCTGGTCCCGTCGTGGGCAGCCATCCCGCACCCCCAGGACCACCCCCAGGCCTGGGCGCCTCGCCCTGGGCATCCCTCCCCAGCAGATCCCCCCCAGCCCACGCACCCATCCCTCACCCCGCTGACCTGCCCGTTGTTCCCCAGTCCCCATTCTGGGCGCCCATCCCTGCTCCCCCAGCCCTCGGCATGGGCACCCATCCCCGAGACCCTCAGTCCCCCCAGTCCCCAGCTCTGGGCACTTCTCCCTCACCCTGGTGACCCCCCCAGGTCCTCCCATCAATGGCCCTGGGCACCCATCCCGCACCCCAGGGCACCCCTGGTCCCTCGTCCCCTGTCCCTGAGCACCCATCACACACCCCAGAGCCACACCACGGCCCCCCCAGCACCATCCCTCACCCCAGGGCACCCCTGATCCCCCTATCCATAGGCACCCATCCTTTGCCCTGGTGACACCCCATTCCCCAGCTCTGGGCACGCGTCCCTCACCCCGGTGACCCTCCAGGTCCCCCAAATCCCATTCCCAGGCACCCGTCCTTCACCCCAGCACACCTCTGTCCCCGCCACCCCCTGTCCCTGGGCACCCCGCCCTCACCCCTGGTGCCCACCATGACCCCCCCCAGCCCCACTGTCCCCAGCCCCAGTGGGGCTGTCCCCCACGCCGTCGCCGTCCCTACCTGCCTGCCGCTGCTGCTCAGCCAGCCCGTGCCGGGAGCCGTGGAGCTCCAGGAGGAGCGTGGCCGCCGCCGGCAGCTCCAGCCCACTGAAGCGGCTGCAGGCACCCACCATCACCTCGTCCAGGAACTCTGGGCGGGAGGAGGCAGCGCTGAGCCCCTCTGCCAGCCCCCGGCCCCCAGCCCCACTGCCACCCACCCCCCCCCCCGGCACCCACCGATGCGGGCCACGGGCACGGCGGCTTGCAGCACCTGGACGGTGCAGGCCACGGCCGCCCGCACGCTGGGGAAGGCGGCGGTGGTGGCGGCGGCGGCCTCGGGCAGGGGGTGCAGGCGCAGCGTGGCCCCCGTCAGGAAGCCCAGGGTGCCCTCGGAGCCCACGAAGAGCGAGGTCAGGTCGTAGCCGGCCGCCCGCTTCCTGCGCGGGGCCGGTGAGCGGGGGGCGCCCGTGGGGGACCCACCCCCCCCTTGCCCCCCCCCACCGGCCCGGCCCCCGGCCCCCGGCTCCCACCTGGGCTGGCGCCCGGGCCCCGCGGTGTGGAGCAGGCGCCCGTCCGGCAGCACCACGCGCAGGTTGAGGACGTTGGGCCGCATGGTGCCGTACCGCACCGCGTTGGTGCCCGAGGCGCCTGTGGCCGCCATGCCGCACAGCGAGGCGTCCGCCCCGGGGTCTGCGGGCGGGGGGGGAGAGGATGGGGACGGGGACGGAGGTGGGGATGGGGATGGAGATGGGGATCAGGATGGGCGTGGGGATGGGGATAGGGATGGGATGGGGATAGGGATAGGGATGGGGATCAGGATGGGGATGGAAATGGGGATGGGGGAGATGGAGATGATGGAGATGGGATAGGGATGGAGACAGGAACAGAGTTGGGAATGAGATGGAGAAGGGGACAGGGATGGGGATAGGGATGCGATGGGGATGGGATAGGGATGGGGATGGGGATGGGGATGGAAATGGGGATGGGGATGGAGATGGAGATGGGGATGGGGATGGAAATGGGGATGGGGATGGGGGAGATGGAGATGGGGGAGATGGAGATGATGGAGATGGGATAGGGATGGAGACAGGAACAGAGTTGGGAATGGGATGGAGAAGGGGACAGGGATGGGGATAGGGATGCGATGGGGATGGGATAGGGATGGGGATGGGGATGGAGATCAGGATGGGGATGGAAATGGGGAAGGGGATGGAGGAGATGGAGATGGAGGTGGTATAGGGATGGAGACAGGGATGGGGTTGGGAATGGGATGGAGAAGGGGACAGGGATGGGGACGGGGACAGGGATGGGGATAGGGATGTGATGGGGATGGGGATGGAGATCAGGATGGGGATGGAAATGGCGATGGGGATGGAGACAGAGATGGAGATGGAGATGATGGAGATGGGATAGGGATGGAGACGGGGACAGGGTTGGGAATGGGATGGAGAAGGGGACAGGGATGGCGATGGGGATTCAATGGGGATGGGGATGAAGAGGGGAATGGATATCAGGATGGGGATGGAAATGGGGATGGGATGGGGATGGCGATGGGGATGGGGGTGGGGATGGGGATGGAAATGGGGATGGGGTTGGGAACAGGCTGGGTGGCTGGCATGGGGATGGGGCCATAGGACATCCCTATGGGACCCCACACCTTGAGAGCCCAGCCCCAAGGCAGCCCCAGTGCACCCCTTGGGACCACGGGGTCAGCAGTGCCCCTGGGACTAGGGGGACCCCAGTACCCCTGGGACCCCAGTACCCACTCCCCCATTGACACCTCTGGGACCACAGCAACCCCGGTGGGGACCCTGAGCACCCTTGGGACCAGAGCACACCCATGGGCACCCCCCCAGAACCTCTGGGGCAGCAACATCCCCACTCTCATGAGCACCCCAGCACCCCTGGGACCACAGCATCCCCAGCCCCATGGGCACCCACGGTACACCCCTGGGAACACAGCATCCTATGGGGACCTCAGCACCCCTGGGAGCCCAGCACCCTGGCCCCATGGGCTCCCCAGCAAACCCTGCGACCATGTCAAACCCACGGGCATCCCCAGTAGGCTTTGGACCATGACACCCCCAGCTCCAGGGGGACCCCAACACTACTGGGGACACAGCACCGCCACCCCTGAGCACCCCTCCTACACCCCTGGGACCACAGCACCCACGGCCCTGTGGGCACCCACAGACCCCCCCCAGTGCTCCCAGCACCACCAGTTCATCCACCCCCCAGCCCCCTGGCCCCCACGGTACCGACGGGGAACCAGAGCCCGGTGCCGCGCAGGTGGCTGTTGAGGGCCTTGCGGGTGACGCCGGGCTCCACCGCCACCGAGAAGTCCTCGAGGCTCAGCTCCGCGATGGCATCCATGCGGCTCAGGTCAAAGCAGACGCCGCCCTGGCACGGGGGCACCGGGGCGGTTGGGCACGGCCGGGAGCCGAAAGCCCCCCAGGCCGGGGGGGGGGGGTGGGTGCCGGGGGGGTTGCCGGGGGGTGCCAGTACCTGCACGGCGGTGACGCCGCCCTCGAGGCCGGTGCCGGTGCCGAAGGGCACCATTGGCACACGGTGGCGGTAGCAGAGCGCTGCCAGCTCCTGCACCTGCCCCACTGCCTGGGGCCACACCACGGCGTCCGGGGGGGCACAGCTGGGGGGGGCGCAGGAGGCACCGCTGCCCCACGGACCTCCCTTCCCTGGGCCCTTCCCCTCCCCACGGCCCTTCCCCAACCCAGACCCCTCCTCTCCCCAGCCCCTCGCTCGCCCATTCCCCTGCCCCTCCCCAGCACTCTTCCCCCCACCCAGGACTCTTCCCCTCCCCATGGCCCTTCCCCTCTGCAGATGCTTTCCCCTTTTCACAGCCCTTCCCCTCCGCACAGCCCTTCCCCAACCCAGACCCTTCCTCTCCCCAGACTCTCGCTCTCCCATTCCCCTTCCCGTCCCCAAGACCCTTCCCATCCCCAGGACCCCTCCCCTCCCCATGGCCCTCCCCCTCCGCAGACTCTTCCTCTCCCCAGACCCCCGCTCGCCCATGCCCCTTCCACTCCCCATGCCCCTTCCCTTCTTTATGCCCCTTCTCCCCCGCACCCTTCCCCTCCCCAGCACCCTTCCCCTTGCTAGACCCTTCCCCCCAGGGGTCCCAGCCCCAGGCACCCACGTGTGCATCGACTCGTCATGGCCGTGCTGCTCACGCACCGCCATGGCCGTGGAGACATTGGGGCCCCCCACCACAGCCCTCAGGGCCTCCACAAAGTCGGGGGGCAGTGGGTGCTGCAGGGGAGGGGGGCAAGGGCGCCGTCAGGGCAGGTGCAGGAGGGTCTGGCCCAGGGGCGAGGGGCCCAGGACCCCCACCTGCAGCTGGGGGTGCAGGGCCACATTGGGTTCCCTATCCCTCTGTGCCCAAGGGGACCCCAGCAGCCATCCCCACCTTGGAGCAGCAGCTCCGGCGCCCCAGGGCCCCCCCCAGCTCCAGCACCCGCCGCAGAGCCATGGTGGGGACAGCCAGCGCCAGGACACTGCCCTCCCTGCTCCAAAATGGCCCTGCCAGTCCCCTCCTGCCGCCAGCGGCACAGCTGCCTTAAGGTGGCTCCGGCTGACGGGGACACGGGGCTGGGACAAGAGTCCCCTCCCTGATTGGGGGTCCCCGTGCCCAGCCTGGTGTCACCACCGCTGACCAGGCGTCCCCGCACCAGCCCCCCGTGTCCCCGTGCCCACCCAGGCGTCCCACTCCCCAGCCAGGCACCCCCGGAGCACTCCACGTGCTCCCACGCCTGGACTCGTGTCCCCACGCCTGCTGTCCAGCCGGGGGTCCCCACGCCAGCTCAGGTGTGCCCCGTGCCCCCGCCCCGACCAAGTGTTCCCAGGGGAGGCCCCGTGTCCCCCCGCCTCCTGCCCCCCTCGGCCCTAAGCCCACCCTGGTGTCCCCTGCCCGCTGCGGCTCCCTGCGCTCGGCCCCGTGTCCCTCACCCCAAGGAGGGACCCCACGGCGTCCCCGGGCCTCCAGCCCTCCCGCCCAGCCTGCCCCACGCCCCCCCAGCCTCACGTCCCCGTGCCCGGCCAGGGGTCCCCCCCCAGCCCCGCGCCCCCCCGCCCCGGTGACACAGCGAGGAGGCAGCGCGCTTCAGGGGGGGTGGCAGCGTTTATTGCCGGGCTCAGTTGGCCGCCAGGATGGTGTCGATCCAGCTGCGGAGCTTGGTGACGCGGGCGTAGACGCCGGGCACCTTGGTGTCGCAGGTGCTGCTGCCCCAGGAGACGATGCCCACCAGGGTCCAGGCGCCGTCCTTCTCGCACACCAGCGGGCCCCCGGAGTCGCCCTGCAGCGGGGCAGCGGGTGAGCGCAGGGGCCGGGGGGCAGCGGGGCCGGGGGGGCCGGCGGGGGCCGGGGGCACCTACCATGCAGGAGGAGGCACCGTCGGCGCCGGCGCACACCATCACGTCGCGGATGCGGAACCCCCAGTACTGCTTGCACTGGGTGTTGGTGAGCAGGGGCAGGGCCGCCTGCTGCAGCACCGCCGGCGTCTGCGAGGCTGCGGGCGAGCGGCGGCGTCAGCGCCGGGACGGGGACAAGAACGGGGAGGGGGACGGGGGGGGACGGGGAGGGGAACGGGCATGACGAGGAGGCCGAGGACGAGGCTTGGGATGGGGTGGAGATGAGGACGGGGGTGGGTTGGGGATGGGGATTAGGGAGGAGTGCTGGGATGGGGGTTGGGGCCGGAGGGTGGGGATGAGGATGAGGACAGGGATGGCGGTTTGTAGAGGGACAAAGGACGGGGACAAGGGCAGGCGTGGGGATGGGGAGCAGGACAGGGCTGGAGATGGGACGGGAATTAGGGTGAGGAGAGCGCCGGGGAGGAGGACGCGGATGGGGATGGGGACTGGAGGATGGGATGGGGATGACAATGGCAGTGAGCATGAGGATGGGGTGGAGGTGAGGATGACGATGAGGAGGGGATGGGGACGGGGTGGAGATGGGAAAGAGCGTGGGAATGGGACGGGGATGCGGGCAGGGACAGGGATGAGGGTGAGAACAGGGCTGAGGCTGGGGCGGGGGCTGGGGATCGGGACAGGAAGGCGCCGGTACCTTTGGGGTCAGTGAGCCCCCAGCCAGTGGTGACACAGGTCATGCCCCCTGGGAAGTCGTCGGTGGCCTGGGGCAGGCAGACGGGGGACACGCGTTCCGACAGCTTTGCTGGGGTGGCCAGTTTGATCAGGGTGATGTCGTCGCGGATGGTCAGCATGTTGAACTTGGGGTTCTTGAAGACCTGCAGCAGGCGGCACCGCTCCCAGCGCCCGCACCCCAGCCACGGCGCCGGGCACTGGGGACTCCACAGGGACCGACGGGGACCCCGGGGACTGACGGGGACCCTGCGGAATGGCCCTGGGGCTCCCGGGCTGACCGGCTCCCTGGGCTGCAGGTCCCGAGTCCTGCTGCCTCAGGGGAGCAGGGATGCGGCAGGGACTCGTGGGGACCCGAGGAAGCAGACCCCAGTCCTGGGCTGAAAGGGACCCGGGGAGCAGAGCCCAACCCCGGTGGCAGATGGGTGGCAGGGACACCCCAGGGACACCCCAGGGAGCCGACCCCAAACCCTGGGCTGGCAGGGACCCAGGGAGCAATCCCGTGCCCCTGCGGCACCGAGCACTGGGGACACTCCGGCGAGCAGGGACACCAACCGGGACTCTGGGAACCGGGGACCCCCTGGGGACACAACCTGAGGGATGAGGGGGAGCAGGGACACCCCAGGGGACCCCAGCCCAGGGCTGTGGCGTGCCACGGACACCGCGGGACCCTGACCCTCAGGATAAGGGGAAACAGGGACCCCCCGGGGACCCGCCCCGCAGGACAAGGGGGACCTGGACCCGCTGGGCTGCCCGCGGTGGCCGCGGGACCCCGCAGGCGCACGGTCCCCACCCCGGTGGTACCTTCTCGATGGTCAGTCTCTGCTCATCAGGGGAGGGCGAGCTCTGGTCGTACGCACCCACCACCACGATGTCGGTGGTCCTGGGCACAGGCAGGCGCTGAGCACCGGGCACAGGGACTGGGGGGGGAGCCCCCGGGGACCCCGCGCCCAGCCCACGCCGGCCGGCGGCAGAGCCGGTGCCTACCTGACGCCGCAGTGGGCAGCGGTGACCACCCAGTCCTCGCTGATCAGCGACCCCCCGCAGAAGTGGAAGTTACCGTAGCGCTGGCGGGGAGAGCGGCCGTCAGCGCCCGGCACCGCCGGCACCGCCGCCGGGGTGCTCTGTGCCCGGCCCCCGCCCCGGCCCCCGCCCCGGCCTCTGGCCCCCCGCTCGGGGGCTCACCTGGAGGGAGACCTGCCACGGCCAGGACCCCGGCACCGCCGGCTCCCCGTTGACGATGCGGTTGTAGCCGCGGATGACGGGTGTGATGGCGGGGACGCCGCAGCCTGCGGGGCACAGGCAGCCGTGGGACGGGGGTTCCGGCCACCCTGGACCCCTACCCCGCCGCCAAGCCCCCCGCCAAGCCCCCCGCCAGCCCCACCCAGCCCCGCGGCCTCACGCACTCTCCTCGGCGAGCGCGGCGCGGGCAGAGCCCGCCAGCGCCAGGCAGCTCAGCACCCACAGGAAAGCCATCGCTGCTTGTGGGGATAAACCCTGCCCGGGGCCTGGTGCCTCTTATACCCGCTGCCGGGCACGTCCCCGCCGCCGGCCTTGCCACCGCGGCCTCGGGAGATAGCGCGGCACCTGGCACAGTGTCAGGACATGGCCTGGGAGCGTGGCACCTGGAGCTGGTGGCCTTGGTCAGCATTGCGGCTTGGCACTGGTGGAGTCTAAGTCTTCACCATGCTCCTTGGCGTGGGGCGTGGGGCGGGCTGTCACCAGGTCCCGAAAGAGACCTTGGAGCTCACCTGGTCCAACCCCAGCAGGGCCACCCAGGGACCATGTCCAGGTGGCTTCTGAGCCTCAGCATGGATGGAAACTTCACAGCTGCCCCTGGCAACCTGTGCTCTGCTGGGTCACCCTGCAGTGAAAGCGAGTCTCCTGATAGTGAGTGGAACCCTCCTGCCTGTCAGATTGGCCCATCACCTTTGGTCCTGGCACTGGGAACCAGTGGAAAGAGCCGAGATCTGACCTCATTGCACCCTCCTTCTATTGCCATCAGGGATGCTCCCGTCCCGTCCGTATCTCCCTGGACTCTCCCCAGTATGGCCCTGTCTCTCTTGTACTGGGGAGCCCAGCCCCAGCCCCAGGTCTCCAGGGGTGGCCTCCCCCTCCCCAGCTCTGAGCAGGGGGGCAGGGACCTTCTCCTGACCTACCGCTGCCTGGGCAATCTGGTGCCCACCAACACCCCGGGTTTGGGCTGCAGAGCAACTCCCAGCCCCAGCCCATGCTGGGGCACGGGGTCCCTGCTCCCCCCCGGGGCCAGGCCCCCCGCCTACCCAGGGGCTGGCTGATGGCCATGGTGCCGCTGCTGGCACGGTGCCGCGCTATCTCCCGAGGCCGCGGTGGCAAGGCCGGCGGCGGGGACGTGCCCGGCAGCGGGTATAAGAGGCACCAGGCCCCGGGCAGGGTTTATCCCCACAAGCAGCGATGGCTTTCCTGTGGGTGCTGAGCTGCCTGGCGCTGGCGGGCTCTGCCCGCGCCGCGCTCGCCGAGGAGAGTGCGTGAGGCCGCGGGGCTGGGGGGGCGGGCGGGGGGCTTGGCGGGGGGCTTGGCGGCGGGGTAGGGGTCCAGGGTGGCCGGAACCCCCGTCCCACGGCTGCCTGTGCCCCGCAGGCTGCGGCGTCCCCGCCATCACACCCGTCATCCGCGGCTACAACCGCATCGTCAACGGGGAGCCGGCGGTGCCGGGGTCCTGGCCGTGGCAGGTCTCCCTCCAGGTGAGCGCCCGAGCGGGGGGCCAGAGGCCGGGGCGGGGGCCGGGGCGGGGGCCGGGCACAGAGCACCCCGGCGGCGGTGCCGGCGGTGCCGGGCGCTGACGGCCGCTCTCCCCGCCAGCGCTACGGTAACTTCCACTTCTGCGGGGGGTCGCTGATCAGCGAGGACTGGGTGGTCACCGCTGCCCACTGCGGCGTCAGGTAGGCACCGGCTCTGCCGCCGGCCGGCGTGGGCTGGGCGCGGGGTCCCCGGGGGCTCCCCCCCCAGTCCCTGTGCCCGGTGCTCAGCGCCTGCCTGTGCCCAGGACCACCGACATCGTGGTGGTGGGTGCGTACGACCAGAGCTCGCCCTCCCCTGATGAGCAGAGACTGACCATCGAGAAGGTACCACCGGGGTGGGGACCGTGCGCCTGCGGGGTCCCGCGGCCACCGCGGGCAGCCCAGCGGGTCCAGGTCCCCCTTGTCCTGCGGGGCGGGTCCCCGGGGGGTCCCTGTTTCCCCTTATCCTGAGGGTCAGGGTCTCGCGGTGTCCGTGGCACGCCACAGCCCTGGGCTGGGGTCCCCTGGGGTGTCCCTGCTCCCCCTCATCCCTCAGGTTGTGTCCCCAGGGGGTCCCCGGTTCCCAGAGTCCTGGTTGGTGTCCCTGCTCGCCGGAGTGTCCCCAGTGCCCGGTGCCGCAGGGGCACGGGATTGCTCCCTGGGTCCCTGCCAGCCCAGGGTTTGGGGTCGGCTCCCTGGGGTGTCCCTGGGGTGTCCCTGCCACCCATCTGCCACCGGGGTTGGGCTCTGCTCCCCGGGTCCCTTTCAGCCCAGGACTGGGGTCTGCTCCCTCGGGTCCCCACGAGTCCCTGCCGCATCCCTGCTCCCCTGAGGCAGCAGGACTTGGGACCTGCAGCCCAGGGAGCCGGTCAGCCCGGGAGCCCCAGGGCCATTCCGCAGGGTCCCCGTCAGTCCCCGGGGTCCCCGTCGGTCCCTGTGGAGTCCCCAGTGCCCGGCGCCGTGGCTGGGGTGCGGGCGCTGGGAGCGGTGCCGCCTGCTGCAGGTCTTCAAGAACCCCAAGTTCAACATGCTGACCATCCACGACGACATCACCCTGATCAAACTGGCCACCCCAGCAAAGCTGTCGGAACGCGTGTCCCCCGTCTGCCTGCCCCAGGCCACCGACGACTTCCCAGGGGGCATGACCTGTGTCACCACTGGCTGGGGGCTCACTGACCCCAAAGGTACCGGCGCCTTCCTGTCCCGATCCCCAGCCCCCG